TAACAGGGTTGAACTTCACTAGTTATGTCTTCTAATGACGCCTTAACAATGATTGATTGATGATTTTTATGTGTACAAACACAAATCTTGATTTGAAATTTATTAAAAAACTCATCATCGATGTTGCTCACAAAAGAATCATTAGATGAATAAATCTTTCAAAAACACAAACGTAGATTGATATGACTGTAGACAATTTACCTGTTAAATCTCACTACATGAACTCATGTCGTATAATGTTATTGTGGAAATATAAAATCTTGTTTTAGCACTGAGATTTTATACTATCTATAGGAAAACTACTAAAATAACCATTTAATGGTAGCCTGAAAGTGTCTTTAAATTTCTATACGAAAAAAGATGTTAGTTACCTATGATATTCTGCCTGTTTCAATTAAAATGATATTACTGAATATTTGAAGACCAATAACAGTTAGCGACAACCTAAAGCTTGGTTCATACTTACAACAGTTTAAGTTCCCATGTCACATTATTACACAGAGATGAAATTGTCGGTTTAAATCCTATAGTAGTATAGGTAGTAAAAATAGTAGCTACAATGAAGAAGATTATGGATGAAAGAACTGATTCGAGAAGTAGAATCCAGTGAAACAAATTTAGAGAAAGAAAAGAGGTCATGAGGAATTAAAAAAGATTAGAATTCAAGAGAAGACAAAGAATGGATGCATCTGTGCCCGTGCATATGGTTTTGAACCTTATTATTCAAAGTCTCTAATCATCGGTTACTCATTGTTGTCTTAGGAAGTGAATTAGACTATTTAATGAATCTTTATAATCATTGTTGAGATCAATAAGCAACTCATTCTTTTTCTTACCATACTGTCCAGCTACATAGTTATTGGTAAGTCTACAACGAAAGTATATCTAAATTTTTGATGAGGTTAATCACTCGAAAATCGATCTATTGATGAACTGAGCATTTGCATTTTTTGATTCAAATGGGAATTAGAGATATCTACTTTTGGTTTGTGCATACATTAAGCTTGATTTTCATGAATTTGATATCCATCCTTGTTCATGACTAGATTTATTGTTCAAGAAGTTTCCATCTTTGATATAAGGTATAATGTTAGTATGATTTTATAAAGGTGTACATAATGAATTTATGTGTACATAGATATTATCTCTAACATTTACTGATCGATGATTTCCTTAAAATATTTCTTTTTCATTATCAGTACTTTGTATAATACCTGTATAATAATAGTTGATCCGCAACTATTATCTAATCTGTACAAAGTAGTCTAAAGTTTTATATGTGTACCAATTATTCACTGGATATAATTACAAAACCTAATATTTACACGTTGTCAAGATTATTATTTAATCAGCACTCTGTATACCAAATCCACTTGTCGAAACTTACAACATAGACAACGTATGGTTTACATCTATGAGGGAATATGAATTTTCATTTGAGTTGTGAATAATCCTTTTTATCGACTGTTATCTGGCACACGGCCTAAATTCAAATCATTTATGATAATGTGGTAAGGGAACGAGGATTACAAGAATTACCAGCTTGGATACAGAAGGCTCGATTGGTTTTTACCAACCTGCGTCACTTATGGCGTAGGCGGGATATCCGTTCGCTAACCAAAGGGCGGGTGTACTGCGCAGCAGTTCGTTCCGTTCTCTTATATGGCTGCGAAACATGGCCGTTAAGAGTAGAAGATGTTCGTAGGTTACTAGTATTCGATCATAGATGTTTAAGAAGCATTGCTCGTATATCGTGGGACAACCGAGTAAGCAATGCTGTCGTTAGGAAACGAGTACTAGGTAAGGATGGCAAATCAATACATGAAGTGGTGAAACTTCATCAGTTGAGGTGGTTGGGACATGTGTTACGTATGCCTAACCACCGACTGCCTCGACGAGCTATGTTTTGTGGTGTAGGAGTAGGTTGGAAGAAAGTTAAGGGCGGCCAGACCAAAACATGGCACAAATCCATGAACTCACTGACAAGTGGACTGAGTCATGTTGGTAGATGTAGACTACCTGGTTGGGGTCCGCGAGACGAAAGTCACCAATGGTTAGAGACCTTGAACGACATGGCTCAAAATCGTTTGCAATGGCGCAGGTGCATCCACTCTTTGAGCTCTCTCAAATCCTAATCTTCTGGATTCGTCAGCACCTCTACCTTTGTCTTTCTAACCTTATTTCACTTAATTATATTTCTTGAATAATATCTTCGAACCCCAGTCTTCTTTATTAACATTAATACCTCTACTATCTTTATCACTATGGGATTTAATTTGACATTTGCGTCTCTGTGCTAATGTGGTATGGCAACCTGAACTTATGTACATACGTACGAAGTTCTACGTTGCAACTGACTGGCTGACTGATGTGATATATATTTACGTAATACATTTCAAACAATCTGATCACACATATACTTGTTAAAAACATTCAACTATCAAAGGACACAATACAAGTAGATGATAAGCATTATGGTGTGTTTTGCAATCTATGAACTGTATGGTTTTGTTGTGACGCTTTCTTTATTCCTCTGAACAACATTATCAGCATAAATTTTCGGTAGAAGTGAAGTACCTCTTTGTTAATTATAAACCTGTCGTTGTTTGACTCTTTATTTCGACTGTATGATGATTTTTCTGATTGAATAATAAATTTGGGTGAATGTTGATGTGTTTTTGTGATTGCCGATTGATGTTAGTGCGCTAAGCTTGGAAAAATTCCCTTCTGTCTTTTGTATTCCCTCTATCCAATATTTTAACAGTTTTTCTAATCGAATTTATGTCTCCTGTTGTCCATATGTGGTGCGAGCTACTTATAAGTAGTATATGACGTGAGTGTCAACGTAATGTCCGGCAGCAGAAGATGTGGGAAGATCAAGAAAGGAAGAGTTAGAACACAATGGAATTTGTATGAAATGCATGAATAGTGAAAATGAATTGATGTTTTGTAACAGGAACAGTCCAGTTCGAGATGATGAACTGATATTTTGCAAATGAACGATTTACCATATAGTTTTCCGATATATATATATATATATATCTTAATTAACATTTATTGTAATAATTACATTTCAGCTCACTGTTGGACCAGAATCAAATTATGAAAAGTTGATATTTGCATTACCAGATAAAACACGTTTAACATTGGTTGATTTCCCATTGCATTTACCATTGGAACTATTAGGTATGGAGACATGTTTGAAAGTGTTAAGTGCTATTATGTTAGAACAAAAGGTAAATTCTTTAATTTCTTATTGTTATTGTTGATGTTGTTGCATGCTTTTAATAGTGAATAAATTTTGTTTAATTTTAGTTCAATAGATGAATGTAAAATAAGTAATCTATTTCTTAGTAGTATATTAGATAAAACAACGAAAGTAGTATGTATGTAGTAGTTACATTTTTGAAACCATGAATTGATCAATTTTAGACCATCATTAGATACGTGGAAGCAGAGGACGGCCGTTTCGTCCTTGTATGGGACTCCTCAGCCGTGCGTATCCACGACTCCTGCACCTTGCAGGATTCGAACCCAGGGGTTTCGGTATTGTGCGCGAACGCCCTAACCGTTAGACCACTGAGCCGGTATCAAACGGTGTTAATGTCTAACTTGATCAAATTCACGGAGTTGCGCAACCTCATACCTCACAGTCTTCGGTAAACACTGCCTACACCCGAACAGGTTGAACTTCACTGGTCACGTCTTCCTACTAGAACTCGGAGAAGATTCCTCACGAAGCTAGTCACCACTGAGCACAGGTAATTTGCATTACGGGGTTGTTGTGAAGATTGTTAAGTTACACATTTTTGAAACCATGAGTCGATCAACATTTCAACCAACATTATCACTGTGTACTTCATATTTGTACTTCATATAACTATTTGCATATTCCTCATTTCTTTTCGGTATATTTTTATATTTCTGTGACTAATCATTATTATAAGTGTTTTCATGTAATATTTGTGACAAATCAAATCCATTGTACACTTTTTTCAGACTCTTGATTGAATAAAAAAAAAAATTTCAGATTAATTTTAAATCAAACAAAATTGTAGATATCAATACAATGTAATCATTCGTTTTAATCCTATAAAATCTTAAATTCAGATTAGGAAAATAGCTAATCTGTTGATATTATCGTTATTATATCATAGCCGTGCAAAAGGTTAATGGTTATGTGAACTCACTATGTCAATCAAGGGGATAATAACACGATAACTATTCCCAGTTTCAAAATGTGAACATCGAAATTTTGGTTGTAGACATTGTAGACATTCATGGATGTAACCTTTAACATAAAATTCATCATGTCACCAAACTGCATACATGTTTCTGACTGGTGATAACATTTTCTTTACATGAAACATACCAGTGACTTTTAAATGTGAATTTCGAACATCAAACAAACTTAAAACTGACTGTGTTAAACCATAGCTTTAAACTAACTAGTTGTGAATCAATACTGACTCTCTTATCCAAAAGAGCACACGGGTGTTGGAATTGTTTCTAAGAATTTTTAGTATTATTTCAGATGATCTGATCAACCAAATTTTATATGTTAGCTTTTCTAGCCGTAATATTTTGTAGAGTCAACTGAATAGACGATTATCATAATTGCAAGATGCACATCGGTTATTTGGGTAACGGGGTAGTTGAAACCGATTCATGGAGTTTTTCTACGTTCTAGTTGACATACATTAGACAGATGTACCTGTAATGTTCCTTATGCAATTCACTAATGCAAATCACTAAGTTTTACTTTCAAACTTTACTACTAAGTTGTACATATGATATCGAAGTGTATGAATGATTAGATTATGAGCATTAAGAGCGAATTCATTGTAAGCTATCGTGAAATTTTTTAGCAGACGATAGTTAATTCTCAAAATTTTTATCTAGTTAATACACAATACACACTGAAATACACAAAATACATTTTAAATATAGTTGATAACTAAGGAGAAAATGCACGATAATTGCTCCGTGAGTGGATATTTTCATGACTGTGTTAGGTTCGAAGTAGGGCTCACTAACTTGAACAGTTAACCTGCAATCTGAATCCCATATTTACAAACAATTAAATGTGCTATTGAAATATATCTTCCCTCGAACATGTGTGTATATATCATATTTGTGCGAAAACCGGTTGTACGATGGCGTCAATAAGAAAGTAAATATGGATTCATTTGGATGAATTTTAGTTCAGGCATACATAAAGGGAAAAAGTGTAAAAGCGAAGTGAAGTGGAGCGGGCGTGTGAGTCATCTCTCAATTCGATGAAGCATGATGAAGTATTTATTGTTAGACAAACGAGGCTAGACATGTGACAAGTGAAGTAAGCACAATGCAAATACGCATTCAAGCGAAAAAAAGAGCGTTTAATTGACAAGTCAGAGGCCAAACCCTATGTGTTCGAAATGAAAGGATACATACTAGATAATCTTTATAATTTTACCATTTTTCATAACATTATACTACAGTTTTTAGACGGTGCATGTAGAGATACACATATGAGTACAAAAAGGATTGATCATATCATATATTTAGTTATATGCATTACGGGGTTGTGAAGATTGTTAAGTTACACATTTTTCGAAATCATGAATCGACCAATGTTAGACCACCAGCATTAGAAACCTGGAAGCACTGAAAGACGGCCGTTTCGTCCTGGTATGGGACTCCTCAGCAATGCGCACCCACGACACCTGCACCCCGCAGGATTCGAACCCAGGCCTTAACCGTTTGACCACTGAGCCGGTATCTATTTAGTTATAGTAGAATAGTACAAATTTCATTCAACAACTCTTTATAAATTTAGTTAGTTAACTTTATTGAAGGTCGAGCTTAAGTCACTATGTGAGATTATCAGTATTACCCATTAAGAAGACAAAATTGGCGTAGTTTACTCGTTTAGATTACTGATAGACGTGTTTTAGTATGACTTTCTTTGTTTGTAACGATATGCATATTTTTTATTTTATTCTCATCATACTACTACTACCACTACTATTGTTTTAGGTTGTACTACAATCCAGAGATTATAATGCTTTAACAATGTCAGTAATGGCATTTACAGCAATGCTTTATCCACTTCAATATATGTTTCCTGCTATACCACTGTTACCAAATAGTTTGGAAGGAGGAGAAAATGTACGTGAAGTTAATTTTATTGTATACGTTTCAAATCTATCTTAGTTGAACCGAAAACCGCAGTGTTATTAGTAGTAAAAATTATGTTTCTTCGTAATCTATTTCACTTCAATCTATTACATTTTTTATTACCTTCGAGGACATTATGGTTATTTTTATTCAAATGATTAACTGTTTTGGTTTGTTTAATTTAAATCCAACCGGGAAAAGGGAAAGCTTCAATTGCATGATCATCATTTTTATTTGTTCAATGACCAAAGTTCATAAAAAAAAGTGTTAGGTCACCAGAAGTTGACTCAGAAGTCACACTATCTACCATAAATTCGGTTCTCAAACCTTTTTATCAACTCACTAGGTACAAATGAGTGTACTTGACTTTGAGCCATGCTCTAAGTGTACAAACTTGAGATACTATCCAACGGATTGATCTGTGAAGCAGATGGATAGGTGTTTGAACTGTTCACAAAAACCGTAATCGTACAATCAGTATGGAGTTGTGAAGATTTTTAAGATTTTACTGAGATCATGAACCATTTAAAGTTAGATAGTCACTCATAGGTAAAATGATTAGGCTTGATTCATGACCAATAGAGATCAACCATATTGAAATGAAGAAAGTTACTGACCAAAGACTCTGAAATATGGTTGTGCATTATCGTAGATCAATTTTGAATTGAAACTTGTACACCACTGGATCCTGGTTCTAGGCTATGGTGGTTGGGTGTTTACACGCGATAGCAGTGATCCCTAGTTCGCTTCTCAGTTGCGAGATTGCGTATGCTCATTGTTAAGTAGTTTGGTATAAGGGCTACTACATACGCGTCCAGTGTTTGCATGTTCTCGATGGTCATCTAACTTAAATCAATTGGCGACTTTAGCCTAACCTTCATTAAAAAAAACGTCACACTTGTCGAAAATTACCAATGTTTTTCTCACAAGAATTATTGATGTTCTATTCTATCTTTTTTCTGTTATTCTCTGTCGTTTTCCGCATTTAGTTATTACTTTCTCCAACGCCATATCTAATCGGTATCCCAGCGTCATTTTTAAGTCAAAAGAAAGATTTTCGATTTCCTGCTGATGTTTGGTTAGTTGATTTGGATGCGAATAAAGTAAGCCAATTCACACTGAATTATTATTCAGAGAAATGTGATGTATTGATAATTTTTGTAATTCGATCTTCATCGAATAGGTTAAAAAATATGAACGTTACTTCATCTACTTACTTTCAGTCATTTGAGTAATATCAGCCATTTTCTCATTATAAATAATGTCATTCAAAATTGAATGCATGTCATGATAATTGAGTTCTATTGTCATCTCTTTGAAATAAACAATGCCTTTTCCCATGAATTAATAACTCTTGAATAATTTAAATTTTGAATTGAATAACGTCACAGTTTACTTGGAAATATCTATCACGACTGATGATACTTTGGATATTATAATATTACGGCACGGTAACTGACTTTTAAAATAGATTTCCGAACCCGGGACCTTTGGCATCGTAGGCGAACGCCTTACCATCGGACCACTGGGTCGGCATCCGACGGTGTAAATGTCTAACTCTGATTGATCTAGGGATTTTGCGTGACCTCACCCATTTGTCTTTTTGGTAGTTACTGCCTACACCCGACAGGGTTGAACTCCATCGTTCACGTCTTCTCAACTAAAACTCCGAGAATTTCCTCATGAAGCTAGTGACTAGTGAGCACTGTTATGATATTTTCGGGCACAGTTTTGGAGGTTTGCGATTTTACACATTTGAAATCATCAATCAACCATTGTGAGACCACCATTAGAAACCTGGAGGCATTGGACGGCCGTTTCGTCCTGGTATGGGACTCATCAGCAGCGCGCAAAATCCCTAGATCAATCAGAGCTAGACATTAACACCATTGGATGCCGGCCCATTGGTCAGATGGTAAGGCGTTCGCCTACAATGCCAAAGGTCCCGGGTTCGAATTCTGCGAGGATCAGGGGTCGTGGATGCGCACTGCTTGTGAGTCCCATACCAGGACGAAACGGCCGTCCAGTGCTTCCGTGTTTCTAATGGTGGTCTAACAATGACTGATTGATGACTTCAAATGTGTAAAAACGCAAACCTCCAAAACTGTGCCCCAAAACAGATTTTCACCAGGTGTTACGCTGATTTATATCAGACCCCTTAAGACAAAAATGTAGTGAGTGTGTGTACTTTTATGTAGAGCCCATAGGGCTTGCCCCAACCTTCTCGAGTCATTATCTACATGCCATTTGACCTTGTCAACAATTCGCTCACATCTTGATTGTTTTTATTTGAGTTTTTATACGCATTGCTTACTTCCCTATTATATGTCTATTATATTTTATCTGACCATAAATAGTTATCATCAATCAATCATTGCTAGACCACCATTAGACACCTGGAAGCACTGGACGACCGTTTCGTCCCACAACGGGACTCATCAGCACTGCGCATCCACGACTCCTTCACCTCACAGGATTCGAACCCTGAACCTTCGGTATTGTGCGCGAACGCCTAACCATCAGACCACTGGGCCGGCATCCAACGGTGTTAATGTCTGACTCTGATTGATCTAGGGATTTTGCGCGACCTCACCCATTTGTCTTTGGTAGCTACTGCCTACATCCGATGGTTAGACGTTCGCGCACAATACCGAAGGTCCCATGATTCGAATTCTGCGAGCTGCAGGAGTCCTGGATGCGCGCTGCTTATGAGTCCCATAGCAGGACAAAACGGCCGTCTTTCAATGCTTCTAAATTGTTTCTGTAGGGTTCAATACTAACTATGCTTGAGGTTATTACGAGTTTATCTTAGTCGACAAACGCGAACGAGACTTTTGCCAGCGTCCAGGTAGGCTACCTTGAATCCCCAAAGCGAGTAAAATGCTTTGTAAGTGTAGAAAGTATATTCTACAAACACCGAGCAAACACAGTACAGTCAAGCATACAACTCTCGTTTATTTATACAACATAGAAACGTCCTTGAGACAGTTAAGGAAATAACACACTAAAATACACAGCAGCCAATCACAGCCATGGATTTTCCTGGTGGGAATTAAAATCTCAATGTCAAC